ACACTGTCGCAGGGTTGCTCTGATACCACCTGTAACACCCCGGGGCCCCACACGGACCCGAGGTAGTTACTCTAAACCTCTAGTACTGTCCCCACAAACCACCACGAGCCTTTACCGCGCACTTTGTCCTCACTCATGCGCGCCCTGAGAAACTTCCTAGGTGGTCACCCATCCCAAGACTACTCCCGTGCAAGCACGCTTAACTTTGGAGTTCTTGGGTGATGAGCTCCCTTAAAAGGAGATGCACCTCTGTTGGTATGAGTAGTACTATTAATCCATTTAAATTAAATCTCAAGTGTTACAGTTCTTAGGTGGGTCAATTGACTTCTCTGTAGGCCCATTTTCTCGAATGATTGTAAATACAATACATTCACACTGCTCTCGATATCGATCAGTACCCGGCGAATCAAAGCATTGTCAATGCACATGCTCACCACCAATTCATCCCTGTGCGGGCTCGGCGAGTTGGGTAAATCAGCCGGCCCGAATGTGATTGGGTCCATCCTTCCTTTCTTCTCGGGGGGAGTGGAGATGGATCCTACATAAAGACTTCGCTCAAACCTTTTCCGTTCGGCGTTCGAATACCCTGTTTCCCCGACCCCAAATATAACTTTAACCTCCATTCGAGGTTTCTTTCTGGGACCTCCCGAACCCTCTAGTTCATCCCTGGGAGGAATATATACGTCATTCTGGGGCTGGGCATCACGTTGGGCATCCCGTCGCCAGCTGTTGGGTTTCCTGATCGGTTTTAAAGTGCCTACCGCACTTGGGTCCTTACTTACATACTTGCCCAGATGATCCCGCCGGATCAAGTCCTCAATAGCCGTTTGTAGTACCCTACAAGCGTTGGTGGCGTGACCTTTCCTGTTATGATATTTACAAAAAGCTGACTCGCCTGCTCCCATATACTGTGAAGAATCAGTCAGAAGAGGAATGTTGTCCTTCTCGTTCTGATAAATGGTTGCCACGGACAGGACCAGGGGAGTAAACCGCCCTTGCTTAGGAGGGAGAGCGGCCACTGGGGTAGAGCCCAGCCAATCGGCCATCTTGATTGGGGCAGTAGGCGCATCGACCTTGTCCCTGATCATAATCTCTTCTTCCAGGGCAGCATGCTTGCGAGCTCTGTCTAACACCTCGGCATACGCCGTACCTGTATTCTTCTTCAAATCCTTGTATAGTTCTCCCGTTCGGAGAGCGTTTGTGAATAAGGTGATGGCGGTATCATCCGTCATATTTCCAACTGCCAGAGTTTCGTCCCTCCATCTTTTTAAGAATTGATTGAGGGTTTCCTTGGAGTTCTGCTTCACGCTGGTCAGGTAGCTGAAGTGCCGTTTTGGGTTGGCACTGGAAGCAAATTGGGCTAAGAACAACGTCGATAATTCGGCGAAACTGTTGATCAACCCAGGTTGCAGGGTCCCGAACAACTCTTGGGCGGGTCCTCTGAGCGTACTGAAAAACAACCGGCATATAGCAACCTGGATATCCGCATACATAATTTCCCTGGTGAAAGGGGAAGTAATCCCGAGCTGAATCGGAGCAGGCTGTATGGGCGCCCTATTCATCTGATCTCTCATCTCGTTCATCTGCCTCCTCATTTCAGCCATTTCTTCCTCCTGGGCCGTCAAAGGGGGCGGTGGTGGAGCCCTCGAATCTGTATACTCCCGATCCCAATGCCTTTGAGGGGCCCTAGTATTATTCCGTTCGTCATGCTGGAAATGACGATCAATGGGAGTAGGTCCCCTGGCTTGTGACCCGATCGGGGTCCAGTCACTGGGACTATGATGCGCTGTTGGTGGAGCGCCACGACGATTATCCCGATGGGCCCGTGAGCGGGATGACGCCATGGTCGTTTCTGTGTGGGGAGTTTCCCCTGTAAAATTGGACCCTCCTTCTTCCTCGTTTGCCATGTGTTGCATGACCTGGGCCATATCTCGCATGGCCTGAGGATTCCTCCTTAGGGCTTCAGGAATTACAAAGTCCCCATCAAAATGAGGATATGATCCTCGGCTGGATTGTCCCTGAGGGTTTTGATTTCTCGGGGTGTGACTCCATTCGTGACGACGTGAACCATCATTTGTGTGATAAGAACTGATTCTGACCATTTTAAAAAATAGTTGTTTTGGAAAAATTGAATGTGAAACTTTTTGAACAGTTTCCCACAGACGACGCCAATGTTGAAGGTAAGTCCCGTAGATCCGAAAACCCAACACGAACTTTGGATATATCAGGAATGGATCAGAATCAAAGTGTTTAACAAAATATAAAAGATGAATCCACTAATACCCAAAAGCCCACTTGTATTAATTAACCTGTCTGATTACAAGGAAACTTCCCGATCGGTAGGTCGGAACAGTGCTTTAATACAGGAAACAAGAGTAAGATTGCTATTCTAGAGCTTGAGTATTGAAATGATAACCCTTACAATGATATTAAACCTTCTATTTATACTAATGGAGAGCATGGGCTGCTCTATGCTGATTGGCTGTTGTTCCACCGACTTGATCACCCATGTTTCCACTTGCCGACGTCACAATCTCACATTAATTGCACCTGGCCACTTGCTGGTTGCCCGTTGCTCGAACGGGATGTTGGACCTTGCGGATGACACTTTCAATTTGGCCCAAGTATGATATATAGTCCGAACTCCGTTCGGTATCTCTTCTTTCTGGGCCGGCCTTTACTCGGACCGAACCCCGTTCGGTATGGATTCTTCACTGGATCTACTCATCATAGGGTAATGGACTCGTTGTTTGGGCCGGGTATCCTGGGCCTTTTTAATCCGGTTATTGGGCCTCCGGATCAATATCCCAACAGAGAGAAAACGGGGAAAATGCTAAGTAAGATTGAGTGTAAAATCCAGCAGCGTAACAACAAGTTTGCACATAGAATTTCAAATCCTTTTCCACAGATTGGAAGGTGATATTTATACTAAGGAAAAATACTTGGCCAACAAGTAAAAAGATGTTATTCTATTATGGTGAAGACACATGTCACGCCTGTCTAACAGAATGAACAAACTAGTCCAATGGGAGGGTGACACGTGTAAAGGTGATTAGAGAGATAACTGAGACAACTAGCTGATTGGAACTGTGCATAACATATTTATACCAAAACACACATATGGGTTACACATGTGTTTATCCGGAATATTCTTTATCTACCGGAGTGACGTGGCGCTTTGTATAGTGTTGATGACGTGGTGGTAGCTTTGTGTGGTACTTAGATTGCTGAAATGCCTAAGTCCATGCTTAGTAAATGGGACCCCAAGCTCCAGGAGGTCGGAGGTCGGGTATAACGTATTTGCTCAGGGAGGTTTTCCTAGTCTTCGGTTTATCCAGTGATGGTCATTTCTTCGTTCTTATTTGAGTCTCTTTGACTTAGCATGTGTGTCCGAGGTCAAATGCGGTACCGATCTCGGTGTGTTCGAGGTCGGCCTCATATTTCATCATATCCGGGTGATATGTGAGCTCGATGTGTGTTTATCAAGAAAATTCTTTATCTTATCTATCAGAGTGATGTTGCGCTTTGTATAGTGTTGGTGATGTGGTGGTAGCTTTGCGTGGTACTTGGATTGCTGAAATGCCTAAGTCCATGTTTAGTAAATGGGACCCCGAGCTCCAGGAGGTCGGAGCTCGGGTATAATGTATTTTCTCAGGGATGTTTTCCTGGTCTTCGGTTTTTTCAGTGATGGTCATTTATTCGTTCTTGTTTGAATCTCGTTGACTTCCGTTGACTTAACGCGTGTGTTCGAAGATAGATCCGGTACCGACCTCGGTGTGTTCGAGGTCGACCTCATATTTCATCATATCTGGGTGATCTGCGAGCTCGATGTTCTTGCCGACCTCAATCGGTGGGTCGAGGTCGGCCTCGACCAGGGTTCCATACTTTACTGATTCGTCGTTTGTGTCTGGTTCTGACCTCGTGCATCGAGATCGGTCTCGGTTGAGGCTTCGTACTTAAGTGTTTGATGTATAGCTTGAAGTCTTTGCCCGCCAATCGTGATACCCCTGAGGTATATGAGAATATACTCCATCAATTCCCTTCACCCGATTAGCCAGTACTTTAGAAAAAAAAAATTATATACTGCATTACATAATGGTATCGGTCTCTAGTCACCCAAATTATCTGGCTTCTCTTTCTTAGGAATTAAAACAATATCAGTCACCCACCCCCCTCTCCGTCTTGAGCCCCATAATTTTATTATTCCTCCGTCTTTGTTTCACCACATTATGGAAGAATCGGGAGTTAATATCACCTTTCTTGAGCCAGAATTCCTTCGCTCGCTACTTCCAATATAAATTTTCTTTCTCCATACGGGTATACAAAATTGCTCTCGTTCTGAGGAATTCTGACGCATTATACCTATCGTCTCTACCTCGTAGCCATGCTAGCCTGCGTTTACATGCGATAATCTGGTGGTGAAAGCCTCTTTTTTGCAAGCATCTTATCGTAACAACTCTTTGCCACATAGGTAAAATTTTTAAGTCACCGATAGATTAGTTCTTGCTCCAAGCTACTTGAAACAAGTGTGCTACATTCTTCTTACTTCAGGCAGTTATTTTCAAATTTAAATTCTTTTTCCTTCGTCCGTGCATCGTAGGCATGACCTTAATCCACAGATCCATATGGTCGCTTACAAGGGCTTCCACCAAAGTAGCTTGGGCAACCATAAATCTATTCCACCACTCATCGTTGACCAAAATGCGGTCAAGCTTTTCCTCCACTACTAGAAAACATGCTATTTTATGCGGTCATTTTAGCCTATTTGATGCGGTTTTGAACCGCAGCAATTGGCAGCGCTGCAAATAATAGAAAATGCTATTTGCTGCGGTTCCGAACCGCAACAAATAGATAAAAAAACAAAAATTGACTTATTGTTGCGGTTCACAACCGCAACAAATAGTATTTTTAAAAAATTTGTTTTTTTCTAATTGCTGCGGTTTACGACCGCAACATATACTATTTTTTTGTTTATACCACCCAAATGTACAAATTATCATACTTTGAATAAAAGTAAAACCTGTATACAAAATAACTTCACATTTATCAAGTTCATAGTTTCAAAAGAACTAAGTCATACACCACAAAATTAATACACAATGATTAGAATACAAAACACAATTTTATAGCAAATTTATCACAACTGTATGGTTTACAACAAATTATCACAACATATATGGCGTCAGCATCACGAACTTCAGCTATATCCTCACTTGACAAAGGCCCATCTACTTTGATTCTCTCATAAACCTAAAATATTAAACATTCACAATTACGCCATGTTTAGAACTATATTCATAAATGTTTCATTCATATAAATGTATAACTAGCATAGGAAACAAAATTAAAATGATTGGAAAATTAGTATTGATACTTACTTGCTCCATATCTTGACCACTCGTGATATATTTAACTGCATCGTATATGAATATCATCACGTAGAATCCACACTCCAAACCGCTTGTTTGTTTTGCACACTAACACATATACATATTGACATTTTTATACACATTAGCATGAATTCACATATATAGAGAAACATAGTAAGACACTTATTGAAAAAAATATATACATACTTTCATTTGTTTCCAAATCACTTTCTTTCTGCTTTCACCATCGTTGTGCATGTTTCTAAACACACTTTAGTTAAAAAAAATAGGATTAGGAAAAATAATATAACACGATAATTCAATAATAATCTCTTAATGGTTCATAATAAACCATAAAAAGCCAATACATATATGAATTTTATATAAGTTCAAGAGCTATACATTTTTTATTTTCGATACTTTAGCAATACTTTTTATTAAGGTTAGTGTACATGAAAGGATTAAGGTATTGCTAAGTGTTTGACTTAATACTTTAGCAATACATTAACTTAATATTCAAGGTGCGAAATGAATGCATCCACCACTGACCCAACAAGAACTCTTATTGATCCTATCTTTGGCAAACATGCAAACAATTAGGGAGACCTATGCTTTAAATGCGAACTGCCCAACAGAGAAAAACCTAAGCCGTGAAATGCTCATCCATGATTATTAACCCCCCTAAAAAATGAAAGCTGCTTAACACACACATATGTTTCATTTTATGTTTAGAAGATAGTTATTGAAAAATGAAAAAAGCTATAGAATATATTATATGTGAGCATATAAGATTCACACACACATATATATTCTAGAGAAGACAACTAGCTCTGGATAACACACAAATTAATACGGCCTGATGTCTTTTTGTGTTACAATATGTATTACACTTTAAAGTTGAAACAAAAAAAGTAAGTCTATAGGGACACTATAAGGAGACATTTCTATGTGCCACACATTAATTGGGCCACATGACTAATTTTTCACAATATGTACCACATAAAGTCTACAATATAACCTAAAAACTGTACTTAGCATTGTGGAGACAAATTATCAAAAACATATCAATAGGGAATAGGAGAAAACTCATTATCGTCAGGAGTTGCATTTCTGCACTAGTGCATCAACGCCACATTGTATGTAATGCAAGGAAATTAAACCAGTCTTCTCAGATAATTTTGTTAGTTTTAATTTCTCATTGAGTGCTAAACTGGTCTAATTGATAGAAGATATACTCGTTTTATATAGACAACGGAAAACTAAGGTCCAAGCCTAATCCGAATTGATATACTTAAACTAACCATAATAAATCACAGAGTAAACTCAAAAAGAACAATAAACTCAAAAAAACCAATAAATCCATAAGTTGATGAGGTTAGTTCAATTTATTTCAAACAATAAATATCAAAAGGAAAAATAAACTAAACTTTTTCATTCAATACACAATATGGAGAAAAAACATTTAAAAATTAAGTTAATAACAACTAAACTTGAAAAAGAGCAACAATGAAGTGCAGAGAAGATGAAGTTGGAGCCAATGAAGGGGCGAGGTTCTGCTGGCCATCGACGTCGGCGAGGAGATAGGCGAGGAGCTGCTGGCCGTCTAACAGAATCTGCAGTGCCGAGGAGCTGGCCGTCGGCGTCTGCAGCAACGTCGGTGATGAGCTGGTGTTCAGCAACGAGCTGGACTTCCGCGACGAGGTGGCCGTCTACGATATTCGGACCCAAGGTTTGGGAGGGGGGCTGGGATTTGGGGAGGGTTTGCTCTAATCGATTGAAGGGGAGGATAAGGTCTGAAAGTTTTAGATGACTTATTTGTTGCGGTTCAATTTCAACCGCAACGAATCGTATAAAATTTCAATGTATTTGCAGCGGTTCTCTCTTACCCGCAGCAAGAAAGTCAAAAGAAGTTCAAAATTCGAAATAATATAGACTATTTGTTGCGGTCGTGGAGGAACTGAAACAAATACCTACTGATTTTGCCTATTTGTTGTGCTTTAGCTAAGAACCACAACAATTAGGTAGCATCAAATAAGGAAAATTCTAGTAGTGCTCCACCCAATGCACCGTTTCTTTCCCACGCTCCCATGTCCATTGGTATCCCATGAACGAAAAATCCCTTCATCCGCTCGCTACCACGCAGTCCCGAAAGCCTCTTAGTCTCCAATTCGGATGCGGGATACGCCCTTTCTTCTCGGATTCATAAAGAATATCGTTGAAATTTCCAATGACCATCCACGGCCCTTTTTCATTCGGCACTAGCATGACAGAGCAATCAATATATGTGGCCTGCAATTCACTCACTGTGACTTCTGACTCATCATTCCAGCCGAGCGCGAGCCCCCCGCTCTGGCCTTCGCTGTCCACACCGCAGCTGTGGAGGTAACCCTATGACCGCAATAATTATTTGGATCTTTGACATCGAACTTTCGTTTCCATCAAGAACATGATAGAGGGGCGATGGCTTTGCACAATATCCGTCACTCATTGGATCGTTGTCAAATTGCCTAAACTCCTGCAATTGTAACTTATTATGCTCATGATTGTTTCAAGAACTCCGCCGGACAAGAAGGATTAAGGCCTTCGCCAGAAAAACGCCGCTAGGAAAAACCTAGACTACGATCACGAAGTACACTCCACACAGACTTTTTTTAATTACATTATATTCCCCTTGTTAAAAACATAAATTGTCATTAACTTATAATTCATTGTTAGTACATTCAATTCTTTGCAACTATTTCTTCTTCTCATCAAAGATTTCTGTGATTGTTTACTTTCATCTTGTACTCGTCATAAGTCCTCATAAATCTGATTCCATAATTATATCAAAATTGATTGATTATTTACTCGGGATCACAAATCGACCGATCAGTCCTATACTTGTACCGGATTGGGATGCAGGTACCAAGATGGTCTCAATATGCAAGGTTTGCAATTTATAATTTGATTTTCCATCATTTTATGATAAATAAAATTGAAGAAAAAGATATTACCTCAATACTGGTACATAAGATAAATTTAAATAAAAAATGATTTTTTATATATCATCTTACAAAGAAAAATGTAGGGATGAGATCGATTTGGTTCTTCGAAATAAAAGTAGGGACCATATGAAGAACCGTTAAATCAATATCAGTTCGCTTCTATAATTTTTTGAAGTACACGTATAAAAACCAATAGTATCATATCCGTGTCATTCTTGTGTGTTATCAGCAATGTTCCAAACGGCTAGGCGGGCGCCAAGGCGGGGACTAGTCGGAGACATAGAAATTATAGTTTCATCAATATTTTTACATAAATATGATTAGTAATGTTGTATTTGTGTGTGTATAAAATACACACACAGATATACATTAACATGCATGAATGATAGTGTTGTCACATTAAACATGTATAACTGTTATCTTTATCTACAACTAGTAACTTTATTCACAAACGTTGTTAAAGGTACTTTGTTGGTATTGGCCCAGTTTTTCCTAGAAGCCCAATTTACCTTTGAGTGTTTACCCGGCCCACAACTTTATCTCTTTCTCTGGTTCGCCGCTCACCTTATTCTCACTTGTTCACGTTTTCCTTCTTTGTTCGCACCTTCAGATCTTCTCAGATGGAAAGTTTCCATCTGTGCATATTTGAGCAAGGCATATTTATACCTCTCGTTTTCAGTCGGTGGGTAAGAGTAGAAACCCTATTCCTGCGAATTAATTTGTCCCTCTTCTCTCCTCAGTGGGGTTCGCCGGAAGGTTGACAATTTGGCCGGAAAAGCTTTGAAGGTTGTCGCCCATTCTTCCCTTTGAGACTATAGTGGAATTATCATCCTTTGTGGATGAAATTGGAGACCTGAGCCGGAACATTAGAGTGGTATCAGAGCCATAGGAGGTCTGCTGGCGCCCCACCATTGCCGGAGGTCTCTACAGCAGCTGCCAACTCCGTCCAGAAGGTTCCAGCGCCCAGAAGCTTCATCCAGACCAACTTCGGAGCCCAAGCAGACCAGTCTGGGTGAGGTGCCGCCCTGGTCCAGCTTCTGCCACCTTCCAGAGAGTGTTGCCGCCAGTCCAGTCCGCTGCCGCCATTCAGTCTGTGCTCTACAACAGCCCCCGCTGCCTACGGTAAGTCGGGTAACCCAACCTCGAGCCCCGATCAGGTAAATTGGCTAAAAATCTTACTTGGTGTACCAGAGTGCCACCAAATTTATTCCCCCCCCCCCCCCCCCGCACCCCCGCAGATGACCTACGTGGTCTAGGATGCCAGCTATGCCTGGCCCCAGGTACGTTTCCTTAATCTTAATCTTTTGTGTGGTTATTGATTGTTCATTCATTTTAATTTTCAAGTTGAATTGTGATTAATTGCTTGTTTGAATCGTTGATTAATTTTACCGGTTAAGAATATTTTGTTCGGATATTTATTATCCGAAGTGGTGAATATTTCTGTCCGGTTTAGATTTAATCACGTTTATATTAATTGTGATTACTTGTTAGTTGGATCGTGGATTAATTTCCTGGTTAAGAATATTTTGTTTGTATACTCGTTGTCCAAAGTTGTGTATTTCTGTCTTGTTGAAATTTAATCCTGTGTTGAATTTTGATTTACTGTCTGTTGATTCGTGGATAAATTTCTGGTTAAGAATATTTTGTTCGGATATTTATTGTCCGAAGTTGTGATTTTTTTTGTCCGGGTTAGTGTTTTATTCCCGTTTCATTGCTTGTTGATTTAATTCTAGCCTATTTGTGCTTGTACGAAAGAACAAGGAGATTGTACCTGAGTTTTGTGCTCATTGGTCTTCTCGGCTTGTTCGTGTTAGTTGCTTCGTACAATTCATAGCCTTATAGGTTATAATCAATCATTTATCTATCTGTTGAGTAAATAGTAATTTATCTGAGCTTGTACGAAAGAACAAGGAGATTATACCCGAGCTTTGTGTTCATTGGTCATCTCGGCTTGTTTGCTCTAGTTGCTTCATACTGTTCGTAGCCCGATAAATTTTACTTACTCTCTTGCGTGTTGTGCTTGCTTTCTTGTTAAGATGGTTGTCAATCAATATGGCATGCTTTCATTTAACGGAAAGACAGACTTTGGTATCTGGAAACAAAAAATCAAATGTGTGTTGATCCAACAGAAAGTCTATAGAGTTGTGACCGGTCTCTATTTAGACTCTGAGGATGCTGCAAAGCGCATTGAGATGAATGAAACTGCTTGTTCCTCTATATACCTAAACCTTTCTGATTCAGTGCTCAGGAAGGTGGGTATTATAGATTCTGCAAAAGAGTTGTGGGACAAGTTAGATAAGTTGTATACCGATACTTCTTTGCCTGGTAAATTGTTTTTACTTGAGAAGTTCTATAGATTTCAGATTGACCTGACTAAAGACATAGATTAGAACCTAGATGTGTTTAACAAGCTTATTCAGAACATTAAGCAAGATGGTGATAAACACATAGATGACTACACACCCATAGTGTTACTTAATGTCATCCCTGACTCTTACAATGACGTCAAATCTGCCATAAAGTATGGTAGAGACGATATCTCGTTAGATATAGTCGTTAATTGATTAAGAAGGAGTTAGACCTTAGACACTCGAGGGGTAGTAACGGTCAATCTATGGACTCTGGTGAAACGTTGATTGTGAGGGGTAGGTCTAATAGTAGATCTAGAAACCACAAGAAGGGTAACAACACTAAGAACCAAAACAATAATAATGACCCGGGTAAGAAGAGAAGTAAGTCTAAGAAGAGAGTGCGCTATAATTGCGGGAATTCTAGTCACATTATTAAGGATTGACCTCACCCTAAGAAGTCTGAACATGGTAATGTGGTAGATGATAATAACTTACATGATGAAGGTTTTATGGTTTGTGATTTTTCCAATTCTGTGTTGAGTAGCTTGACTGAAAATGAGTGGTTGATTGACTCTGGTTGTACTTATCATATGACACCATTTAGATCTCTGTTTGCTTCTTATGATTCTTGCAATGATGGTTTTGTATCTCCTGCTGATAATAAGAAATGCAAAATACATGGGGTGCGTGATGTATGCTTGAAGTTTGATAATGGGACTATGTTTACTCAGAAAAATGTGAGACATGTTCTTGATTTGCGTCATAACTTGTTTTGTGTCGCTGCTTTTGAGGGTAGTGGGCTTGAGGGTAAATGGGGAAACGGGTGCATGAAAGTTTTGAAAAAATCTCTTGTTTTGTACAAAGCTAAAAAGGTTAATAACTTGTATGTGTGCCATGCTCAGCCTTTCTGTGATTCTGCTCATGTTGTTAGTCTTGATAAAACTGCTTTGTGGCATAATAGATTAGGACACATGAGTAATAAGGGATTAGATATTTTGAATAAATCTGGTTGTTTTGGTAAGGATTATGTGTCCTCTATCCCTTTCTGTGAATCTTGTGTGTTAGGCAAGCAGCATAAAGTTACATTCCCCTCTTCCCCTTACCTTAATCCCACTAAGTGTACCTCTGTGTTAGAGTATGTTCATGCTAATGTGTGGGGTCCTGCTAGTGTCTCTACCCACGGGGGTAAGAGATATTTTCTGTCCATTATTTTTTATTTTTCTAGGAAGGCGTGAGTCCGTCTTCTTGACCATAAGTCTGATGTCTTTGTGAAGTTTAGGGAGTGGAAAACCCTGGTAGAAAATCAAACCGGTAAGAAGGTCAAAACCCTTAGGACAAATAATGGTCTAGAGTTTTGCAATAAGGATATGGACCAACTCTGTGTTGATTGTGGGATTAGAAGGCACACAAACGTGCCCTATAGTCCCCAACAAAATGGGACAACTGAGAGAATAAATAGGACTGTTCTAGATAGGGCTGCACATCGGGCGGGTTGGGTCAGGTTTGCTATATTTTTTGGGCCTACCCGATTTGTTCGGGTTGGCTATTAACCAACCCGTGGTACGCAAAAAG